AAAAGGAAAAAGCGGATGCTTTATCTAGATTACCTCAATATAATAGTGCCTGCCCAGAAGTGGTTCGGCCTATTGTCCCCACCAAAGAGTTGGCGGCTCCAATGGTTACCAGAGCCCAGAAAAAGAAGGAAGTTGAATTATCAAATGATTTATCTTCCTAATTCAAAGAAGCTCTGAGACTTGATGATTGGTTCTTGGCTCACTCAAATAACTATACAGTTAGAGATGGATTGGCATGGGGGGGGGAATTATATGTTCTAGAAAAGTTGAGAAACCAAATATTAAAGCAAGCTCATGACTCTAAAGTTGCTGGACATTTTGGATTTGTGAAAACCTTACACTTGGTTAAAAGGCAATTTTGGTGGCCTACCTTGAAAAAAGACATAAAGGCTTATGTTGCTAGTTGTCCTATCTGTGCCTCAGCCAAACGGCCACCTGGTAAACCAGCGGGCTTGCTACAAAATGTGGCTAGGCCAACTGTCCCATGGAAAGAAATTTCTATGGATTTTATAGTGGAATTACCTGAAAATGGGGGAAATACAGTTATTTGGGTAGTAACAGATTTGTTTTCCAAGCAGGTACACTTCATACCATGTGCAAAGATCCCATCTGCGAAAACCTTGGCTAAACTGTTTTTTTTTACATGTCTACAGGTTACATGGTGTTCCTGAACACATAATCTCAGATAGGGGTGTCCAGTTTACCTCAAAACTTTTGAAAGGAGTTCCTGAAGTTATTGGGCTCTGCCCAGGGCTTAAGCTCTGCCCACCACCTACAAACCAATGAGGCTTGTGAGAGAACTAATTCTGTATTGAAACATCTAAGATATTAGATGTTATATAAATTATCAGCAAGATGATTGGGCTGACCTATTGCCATTTGCTGAGGTGGCATATAACAATTCAGTACATAGTACTGGGCTTACTCCATTTAAAGTGGCTTTGGGACAAAACTTTGTACCTATACCCGAGCTTCCACAGGACAAACCTAACATTCAGTCACTGAATGAGTGGATAACCCAACTCCAGCTTACCTGGCCCGTTACCTGTAAAGCATTAGATCAGGCTTGTCCAACCTGCGGCCCAAGGGCCGCATGCGGCCCAGGTCACCTTGTAATGCGGCCCAGTGCCCACCCCAACCTTTGTGCTAGAGCCAGTGAGGAGGAGGAGGAGAAGCAGGCGCGAGGCAGGGCGAGGCGAGCGCCAGGCCAAGCAGCAACAGAAAAAGCAGGCGCCGTCAGAGCGCCACCTCCTGCTGTTGCCACCACCGCCATCGCCGCCGCTTCTGCCCCCGCCGCTTCTGCCCCCGCTGCTACTTCTGCCCCTGCCATCGCTGCCACTTCTGCCCCGCCACCTCCGCTTCTGCCCCCACCACCACTGCTGCTTCTGCCCCCACCACCACTGCCCCCGCCGCTGCTTCTGCCCCCGCCGCTGCTGCTGCTTCTGCCTTCCAGTCCTGCCTCATCCAGCCGGGCCATTTGCAGGAGGAGAGGTAGGCGCGAGGCGGGCGAGCTTTCTCCCCCCCCCCCCCGCAAAATTTGGCCGGAAAATAAACCATGATAAAAAAACTGTGATAAAAAATAAATAATTTTTAATAAATAATTAATAATAAAAACATCTCACTAACTTCATTTCCAAATAAATTTAATATGTTAACTATGTTTTCTATGGGTTTTTTGGATGATCAGGTATTGTTACTGTTATTTTATTTTATGTGCGGCCCAAACCAAATTTTCATCTTCTAATGTGGCCCAGGAAAGGTGAAAGGTTGGACACCCCTGCATTAGATGATGCTCATCAAGCTCATAAAAAATTTGCAGACAAAAGGAGAACTCCACAAAAACCATATCAAGTGGGTGACAAAGTCTTCTTATCCACCAGGTATTTGCAGACTACTCAAAAGTCAAAAAAGCTTGGACCTAAGTATGTTGGACCTTTTACAATTGAACAAATTGTGAATCCTGTGGCAGTCCAACTGCAATTACTGAAAATCCTCCGATGGATCCACCCTGACTTCCATGTTAGTTTGTTAAAACCTGAACATACCTCCGACCTGAGAATGGCTCAGGCCAATCCCATGTCTTTGCTAATTGACGGTGAGCAACATTTTAAGTTAAAGAAATCTTGGATTCTAGGAAACAAAGAGGTGGACTATAATATTGAGTTGTTTGGAAACATTTTCCTCCTTCCCATTCTGAATGGGTGAATGAGAAGGATGTTCAACCTCCTAAGCTTGTCAAGGCATTTCGTACGAAATATACTGATAAACCCTGAACTTTACTATTATGTTATACGTATATTATTCTTTTATTTTTTATTCTTTCTCTTTTTTAGGACTAACGCCTCTTTTTCAGTGGGGCCGAATGTCAGCCTTCAAGATTTTTTTCCTTTGCTTTGCATCTTTTGGCTGTCCTAAGTAACAGGGGTAGGAGGGGGGACATGATTATGGGAAGCAAGCTGGAGGTTTTACAAAACAAAACTGTATAAGTTGGAGGGGGAAGTTTCTTGCTTAGGCTTCTATCCTATGCTATGCAGAGCCGCAATTCTTTATCAAAATATGTCAAGGTCAATGGACAGAGGCCTCATCACCACCTGGAGATACCCACATGATGCTATACACAACTTTTAATTGGTTGAACAAATTGAACTATTGTGGGTAGGAACGTTGTCATCACTTTGTATATGTGATTTATGTGCTCATTTTCTCAGATTCAGAATTCTTTTGTTGCTACCACTTGATTTCCAGTAAAAGATATCTTATCTCTAATTAACGGAGTCTAAGTATTTCTTTCTTGGATTTTGAATGGAGTACCATCTGACAGAAAGCTTGCTAGGCCATGAGTGCTTCATGAAGCCGCAGCGCTGGCAGTTAAGCAAGCCAGACAGATGGTTGGGGGGCAAGCTAGCTAGGCCATAAGCACTGAGGGCAGTGCAGCATGCTGCCTGGGAGTCAGGACTCAACCAGGGCTTGTAGCAGCAAGGGTGAGGGCGGTGGTGATGGTGTGGCGGTGGTGGCCTAGGCCAGCCCAGGAGTTGGGACTCAACTGGGGCTGGCGGCAGCAGCAGCATGTAGGCGACCGGGGCTTGCAGAGCCTCATTCACCTAGGGAGATCAGGTGGTGGAAGGCAGGCAGTGATGGCTGGCTGGTTGGCTGCTGCTGCTGCTGCTTCTGGAAGTGATGGCGGCAGGTGGGGAAATGTGGGAAGTGATGGAGCACACATGTGCTATAAGGAGTGACTGGCCGGGTGAGGAGAGAATGCTGTCAGTGATTGTCATGCATGCACAATAAAGACTGACTGGGCAGGGAACAGAGGAGCGGGCAGAGGGGGGCGGGGCCAGCCAGGGGCCTGTTTTAGCAGATCTCCAAACTACCAGGAATCATAACAACTAGTGCTACAGAACCAGGCCGAACCGGTAGCATCCCACCCCTGGGTGGGGATGGAAAGGGAGGACTCTAAATGGAAAAGAGAAACAAGATTTGTAGAAGGGATACCTGAGACTATATGATTAAATGAAAACTGAAGATAGTGGATGATGTATTAAAGGAAAATTAAATGTAAAAGATTCAATATATATAAATGTATATAAGAAATATATAAGATGTAAGACAAAAAGATATGTCAAATACGATTTCACCATGATCAAATGTTTTTAAATAATGTATTTAATAAAATTTGTAAAATAAAATAAAAAAATAAAGTTCTTGTCAGTATCCATGATAGGCTTGAACATAGCTTTCTCTGTTTATCCAAGAACTAGAAATATTAGTGGAAAAGACTCCTAGTTACTGAAACCCTTAATCAAAAAGAGTCCTCCCTGAACCCTATCATCTTTTTTTTCCTTAAGTTTATAAAAAACATGTTATTAGCAGAAGAGAATATTTGTAGCTCATGGTTGAACTTGGTGCTCTCTGAGCTTGGTTGTTTTCCTGCACTGATGTTACCTAGTTTGGTAATGAAATGTATTAAAACAACCTTGTCCAAACAGCACCAAATACCCCTCAATTATGTTGGCTTAGGAAGAATTTGTTAAAACTTATAGGTTGTCATATGAATTTTTTTTCCTTCTTATGACCAAATAGACTTTTTGTCTTTTCTATATGTAAAAATATTTTCTTACCCTTGATACCAGGGGAATCTGATAATTGTAACTGTTCATACAAGAAAAAGTATTGAAAAAAGGACTGGTAGCCCTGTTGATATTATCATCACATCCTAGGAACCAGTCGAGAAATTTTGAAAGGTACCCTGAATTTGACGTTATTTGTTCCTGAAGGACATGCTGAGAGGAAGCACTGATTAATCGCGGACAAATTGCCTCGGAAAACCAGAATCCATGAAATAAAAAAGCAACAACCTTTCTGGCCATTTTTCGGGCACGATAGAGGCATTTTAGAGTTAACCGTGCATCCTAATTTAAATCTGCACACTTTAAATTCAGTATTTACAAAAAACAGTGTACCCTTCTAAAGAAAAAAAATGCTTCCCGCTAATCCGTTACGGCGCTATCCCTGCAAAACAAGCCGCTGCCGCGACACAAAATAAGACTTAGCAATTCAAGGTGTCGGCTACGTTCTGTTTGCCGCGGAGACCCCTTTTTTTCGCCTGCCCTTCACGTCATTGTCTCCCCGGCACGTGTCTTCGGACCCACCCTGCTGCTAGGGACTTGGTGGGTGAGCCAGCCCCTTCCCTTCCAGACACGCGCGCGGGCCCGCAATTCCCCCGGCGCTGCCCCAGCCTGCACTGCTCATGCAGGAGCTTCGATGAAGGTGGGAGAATGCAACTCGGGGAAGCCCCGCGATCTCGGCCTAGGAACAGGTAGAGTCATCCGACAGCCAGGCGCGCTTTGCATTGGAGCTTCGCCTCCGGGACTTGATATGAGCTAACCTCCGGATGCTGAAATGATCCCGAGCCGGAGGAGTGCTCGGGCGCTGGCTGATCCTGAGGCCGGCCGGATGCGGGGCCCCGGCTGGGGAGGCTAGGGGGCAGGCCTCGCCTGGCTATGGGCTGCTTGCAGAGCGTGGCGTGTAAGGCGCGAGTGCGCAGGGAGAACATCGTGGTATACGACGTGTCGGCCTCCATTGAACCGGGAGCCACAGCCATCGAGGAGACATCGCCCATCGTGCTGCGCTACCGAACGCCCTATTTCCGCGCCGCCGCTCGTGTCCTTATGCCGCCTATTCCGCGCCGCCACACCTGGGTGGTGGGTTGGATCCAGGCCTGCAACCACATGGAATTCTACAACACCTACAGCAACCTGGGCATGTAAGTGGAGCGTGGGGAGAGCAGAGCAGCCACGGGAGCGAGCAAAGGGCGACGCCTTCGCTACGGTTGCCAGTCCACCCCTAACGACCAGAGTCGTTTAGGGTATCATTTTGTCTCCATAGTAACCGATTCGCCATCAAAAAGAGGCGGTCCTGCGTGAGAAAGCATGAACTTGGCGATGCCCTTTATCTAGGCAGATGGTCTCCTCGCAAAGGACATCTGCAGACTTCAGCCTGCGCAAGTAGTGCCTGTGCCATCCAGCAAATATGGCTGCTCCCCCCCTTCAGTCAGAAGGAAGACTCTCCTTTATGTGGCAGACAACAGACTTCCTTTGGGCACCAGTGCCCTTGGCTCCTTTTTGCCTGGCTAATAAGTGTGGTGGAGGATACATTCTCCTTGGCATTGCCCTGCCTGCCAATCACAGCTTCAGCCCTCACTGGGGTTTGTGCATTAAATAGCAATGCACACTTTCTTTGTTCCATCTTCAGTAAACTTTCTTCACTGCCACTTGTTGAGGGTGTGAATGAAATTAGAGAAAGTTGCTCTCTGTATTTTTCCTTATGTTTTTTGTGCCACTGCTAAATTACACAAGACACAATTGATCCATGAATAAAGTCCTTCAAACTGTAGAAATGCTACTTCAGTCAAGAGCTCCCTGGGTATTTCAGCTAAATAAAAAGAAATACAGTAGGGAAGATTAATAGAAAAAGTGGATTGGCCCTTTGTTGATAAATTATGTTAATATTTTGCTCTCCTCTGATGTTTCAACATCTGTAGGAATAGGAACATGGCTCCACAATGGTGCCAATTTAAAGCAGTCAAGCATTTGACTGATTTATCATTATGGCACTGGCCTTCACTTCTCCTTTCTTAAAGAATGAATCCTGGACAGAATGCTTTCATTGCCAAAATTACCAACTTATCCTTTAAAGTATGAAAATGCCAATGCACACATCATTTCCCATATTTTTCCGTGTATAAGATGCACCTTCTCCCCCCCCCAAAGTGGATGGAAATGCCTGTGCGTCTTATACAGAGAATGTTGCCAAAGCCCCACCCACCCACTGGCCCCCAGCCTTGAGCCTCTGCCTCCCAGCAATTTGCCTCCTTGCAGCAAACAGCCTGCTCAGCTTCAGCACAACCTGATTTAGCACAAACAGCTGATTGTCAGTTGGATCTGCCTCCTGATGACCAACTGTTTCAGGCTGCAGGGATCACCATTGCCTATTGCCTCCTTCCTGCACCCCATTTTCAGCCTCCACATCATGTTTTCTGCCTCCGCACACCCCGTTTTTGGCCTCTGCATGCCCCATTTTCAGCCCATTCTCATCCCTGCCGCCTAGAACAGACTGAAAATGCTGAAAATGTAGAGGCTGAAAATGGAATGCGGAGGCTGAAAATGGGATGCGCGGAGGCAGCAATTGGCGATTGCAATCCCTGCAGCCTGAAATAGCTGCTCTTCAGGAGGCAGATTCAACCGACAATCAGCTGCTTGTGCTAAATCAGGCTGTGCTAAAGCTGACCAGGCTGTTTGCTGTTTGCTGCAAGGAGGCAAATTGCTGTGAGGCAGAGGCAGATATTTTTTTCTTGTTTTCCTCCCCAAAAGCTAGGTGCATCTTATATTTTGGAGCATCTTATTGTCTGAAAAATATTGTAATCTTGCCCTGGATTTGATTTTTGTGTATTTAGCTTGGACTTTTGAGGCAACTCTACAATATTCCCCTATGCACCCAGAGCCTTTTCTGTTCTTGGCAATAATAGTTGACATTTCAATAGCATTTTATTTCAGAACTTCTAAGATATCTCTCTAAAAACAATGTTACTGAGATGAGCTTTACCAAGAATTCTTGCCAATTATTCAGTCAGGTTTACAGCAAGCTTGTTAATTGTTAATTTAGCCTTTGACACATGTATGGATATTGGTACATGTATATTAATGATATATACATGCTAAAATTATTTCAACATCCACTATAATAATTACCAAACTATCAATTTACTGGGAATCAATTATCAGGGGAAACTTTGTTCCAAAATGTAACCAAGGCTTTTTATGGCTTATAAATTTAATATTAAATTGCCTTCTGAATTTATCATCATGTTTTCCTAATGGTATTTTGTCTTAATGATTTCTCTGCCTGGCCTTCATTGATATCCTGTAAAAGATTGTCTAATTTATAAAGCAAATACCAGCATAATTTTTGATATTTCATTGTTAGAATTAAAGAACTCATTTGTCTCCAATTTTTCACAATTATTAGTGTATCTGCTACTTACAAAGATATAAATATGATGGATAGATAAGATTTGATCATTAAAGGAGAAGGGTTTTTTTCTTGGTGGATGCAAAAACAAACTTCTGGGCAGCTTCTAATGTATTTTTACACATTGTTCTTTGTCTTCTTATATCTGCCCTAATTCAAAACGTCTATGTATTGTATTCCCTAGTCACCACATGAAATTCCTCTTGCACTATTTCTTTTGATTCTTTAGTATTATTGATTAAGGCATTTTCACAGATAACAATTTCACCCCCAAATCATCAGAAATATTTTTGAACTGCCAATGAGTATTCCTTCTCTTACAATCCTCACCTCAAATATTAACCTACCAGGACTTCCTCCCTCCACCACTCTGCCCTTACCCATATCTTTGTTTTTCTGGTGAGGAAAAAGAAAAAGCAGGTATCTGCTCAATATAAGCCCAGTTAAATAATGACAGGTATCTGGCATCTTGTTTTCAGCAGCAGGAAAGTTATCTGGGGGCAGGATGAAGCAGATCTTACAAATGGGAAGTCACCTACTCAGTGACTCAGGAGTTAATGCCACTGAAGTGTTTCCACAGCATTCCTCCTGATCCACAGCTGAGTTAGAAACTAATCAGTTGTACAACAGAAGCTGAACATTGTGGTATACAAAGGAGCATGTGGAGGGATTCTTAAAGGACATGCTTGCCTTATTGTATTGTATTGTTTCATTTGTATTGTTTCATTTGTTATAGAGGTGGGGCTGGTTGGGATTGAATGCCCTCTCTAACGTGATTGCTGAATTGCTGCCATTTTCAGGTATAAAAGGCACCTAAACCCTCAAATAGGCATATTTCAATTTTAAAGTCCCAGTGCTTCCTCAAAATACTGCCCTTCCTCCACAAATGTTAAATGCCTTCTCAATAGGCAATCTCCCAGAGCAGCATATTTAGATCACAAATTAAGAAACACTTGTTTCCTAAGGGGGTGTTTTTGTTATCTTTTAATCAGGTATTGTTAAGGATAAGTGAAACTGCTAAGACTACAAGATATATTGTTGGTCTGGAGCAGAAAGCTCAAATCACTATATACCTCCCACATCTTCATAATCTCTGAGCCACCAACAAAGGGAAGTGATAGAGGAGACTGGCAAGGCACAGGATATGCATAGTTTCTTGAGATTGAGTCTCTTTTCCAAAGAAACCTAACACATTGAACTAAAGACCTGGCTGGACTTGGGTAGAATAGAAACCTAAGTCCCAGAGTTTCCAAGGGTGGCTAGAACTGTTTAGGACCATAAGCAGAGGACAGGACAGAAAACAAGAAGCTGTGGATGAACTGAAGCAGTGACAGAGATGATAGATATTCTGGCTGATAGGCATTGCTTATTCCAAGTTGTTGCTGCAAAAACTATTCTGTAGGTACTGTAGTTTATCATCATTCTTTGTAATCTGCACCCATGATTTACTCCCTGTTCAAACTTAAGGAACTCAGGTTCCTATGTCTAATTGATATAGTCTGCTATGGTTGTTTACTTAATTCATAGTCTTATTGTTGTTTGAACAGAAGTTGAGGGAAGCCGGGTATGACTATAAAGCAAACCAGTTTATGAGAGCGTCCAGCTTCAGAGGCATGAGCTGATGATGTCACAACTGAAAATACACACAAATCAATAGAAAACTAAGTATCTGTGACACTTAGCAACTAGACCAAAGCAATCAACCTTTCCTTGCAGGCTGAACTTTCATTAACTTTCCAAATAAACTTATTCAAGAAGATGGGAAGAAGCAGAGACTATGCTTGGCACAAATATCTTGGTGGATGTGCTTAGTGTAATAAGTTCTGGCAATCAGAAGAGTAGTAAAACAGCCCATAGTAAATACTTGACGCAGGCTTGTGCACAAGGTATCAAAGGGTTTAAAAAGGTGCAATAGTGGTTTCCCAACACCAGTCCTCATCTGTCTGGGAGATTGAAAGTTTCAAGGAAGGAGGCAAAAATCAGGAGGTATTTGTTAGTTTCTTTTCCAACTTCTTTGTTGAAAGGTTTTGTGACTTGCTGCTCACTTCATGCACTGATGAGATGCTACTAAATTCCTTTTTACTATTATAGCTCTCCTCCTGCAATAGCAAGGAAAGCTGTGTGTTGAGGAAAAGGGAATCAATAAGTTGGTTATTTATTAATTAGAAATATTGGGGAGAAAGTATGTGAGTGGATTATATGATATGTCTATTTGAGTGAAGATATTTAAATAAACTAGTAAATGCCCATACAGTTTGTGGCTATGTGCATGTTGATATCAGTAAAGTTACAAAGTCCTGAAAGCGGAAATAGTGATTTAGTGTAAATGAATCATAAGATGAAGCATATTAGTATGATGATATTAGTATGATGGTGTACATGCTGATGAGCTCTGAGAAGGCAGTGTTTGCTTTTTTGTGTATAATTTTTATTAAAGAAATTTTAAAAGAATAAAAATACAAATTTTGAAAAAGAAAAGGAAACAAAGAAAGGTAATAAGTAGGGAAAAAGTACAAAGAAAGAAATAGAGAAAAGAAAGAAAGAAAATAAAAAGTTATGAAGATGTGGCTTCCAGCAGTTATAAGTACATTTATATTGTACCCTCAATCTGTAAGGTTACAACATAATTTCCTTTTTTCCATAAAAAGGGAAACTCTTTTTTTGACCCTTTCTGATCATCAAAACCATAAATCACAATTTCATTTTCTTTTCTTTTTTCAGCAAAAATTCCATGAGGGGTTTCCAGTCACTAATATAGTTACTGTCCTTTCTCTAATCAAACAAATCAAGTTTGCAATCTCTGCTAATTCCGTCATCTTCACCAATCATTCCTCCATTGTGGATATTTCAGAGTCTTTCCATTTTTGTGCACACAATGTTGCAGCAGTTATATATAAAAATGATTTTTCATAACTCTTCTAATTCTCTAGCCATTAATCACAGGAAAAGGTTTGGTTTGAGAAAGCAGAAATTGACTTTAAAAAGATCTTAAGAGTAGTTTGATAAAATATAAATAGCTGCACAATTGCTATGAAAGTACAAATACATAGTGGAGATGATTAGAAAAGATATAATAAGAAAAGTCATCAAAATGCCCATGATATGGTACTGCAAAGCTGGTGAAGATAATCAAAGGTATTATGGAGCTGGAATCATTCCTTTAAGAAAAAAATTATAAGTTTAGGAACAACGGAATAACAGAATTGGAGGGGACCTTGGAGGTCCTCTAGTTCAACTCCCTGCTCAAGGAGGAAACCCTAAACCATTTCAGACAAATAGTTCTCCAATCTCCTCTTAAAAACCTCCAATGATGGAACACCCACAACTTCTTTCTTAATAAAAGTTTTATTTAAGTTTTCACAAAACATACAAATAAAATATCTTTTTTTTTTAGAACACCGTGGCCCTGGGTTATCACTTCTCCATACAGACATAAACTCAATACATATTTATCTTATGCATTCTAAACCATATCTTATAATTATTTTTGCAATTTTTTTCAATAGATTTTCCCTTTCTTTACTTCCTGTAGCCTTATTTTAAATTATCTCATTCCTTTCTTAATTCAATTACATATCTTTTTCTAATTTTTAAAATCTTTCTAATCAATGTTTTTATACTTTCGTCTGTCCTGTTTACAATTTCATATTATCTTTTCTCATAAAACAATTTTTCCCTGTAATTAATAGACAGGGGTGTAACACCTTTGTATCTTTTTTCAAATCTTGTTTAAAAATTTAATTTACACCTTTACAGTTATAACATTCATTTTCTAACCTCTATTTTATAACACATACCTATTTTCAATCGAATTCTGCTTGGTACATTCCCTTAAAAATACACACTAAATTCTTAAAAGAAAAAAGTATATATGTGTATATATATATATATGTATATATATATATATATATATCTAGGTGTGTTCAGGTGTTTTCCCGTGTAAGATTAAGAGTATCTTGGTGATGTTTCGGCGAGGTCCCACTCGCCATCCTCAGGCTGATGCTTTCAGCTTCGTGCCAGTGCAAGCAGTGACATCGCCAAAATACTCTCAATCTTACATGGGAAAAGACCCGAACACACCTAGACCTACATACCTGTACCCGTGAAAATCTATGAAAACAGTATATATATCTGTGTATCTATGTATAACAATAGTAAATAGAATAATTATTCTATTCAAGTACAGCTCTGCCATTAATATTAATAACAATCTTTTACATTTCTATTTCTTTTAACAAACATTACCTAGTAATATCAGTTGTCTTTCACTTTAATCATCTATATTTCATATTTTACTTATTACTGTCTTTAAATAAAAAACCAAACAATAGTTATTAACAGTAGTCAATAAAGTTATTATTCTTATTCAAGTTCATCTTGTCAACTGATAAAAATCTTCCATATTTCTTTTCAGTTTTTTTAAACGTTCTTTTTAAATCATTGAGAGCCTTATTCTCTTTACAAACAAATATTCCACTACACATCAATATAAATTTTTTCTATCACTTTAATCATCTAAACATATTTTCTAACCCCTTTCTATTTCTAATATAACAATGCTATCACATGCACCCTTGCAGAATCGTCTCCTTAAGTTAAATTTTAACTATTGTCTCTGTGTCTTTTAAATAGGTTTATACCTTTAATTCTTGTACTCTTTTCCTGTACCTCTATATCTTGTTTCTGTCCTTTGTAGCTTCTTTTCCTTTCCCTCTTCCCTCTCTCCTTCTCCCTCCCCTTTTTATTCCCTTTTCTATCTGATTCTCCCTTCTGTGATCCTCCCCTCTGCTTCTTCCTGATATTATGATTACTTTTCAAATTACTCATTTTTTTGGTTGTTGCTTCAGTGCTTAAATTTTTAACTCCCTTTCCCCCCTTTCCGTTTTTTACCCTGCTTAAAATTGCTTGGTCATTAAAGATGACTTCTTCGTTGTCCTGCCCTTCTTGTTCTGCCAGCGTTTCTTGTTGTTCAAGATCTCCATTTCTAAAAATTGAAATACGAAGCCAAAAGATCCTCTTCTGTCTTGTGCTTCTTTTGTTCTTTAAGTCTGATTTTTAACTCTTCAAGGAGTGATGCCATTTTAAAACATTATAAACAACCCCCAATTGATTTTATTTTATTTCATTAGAATCCTCCATCCTCCATTCCAGGAATCATCCAATAATCCAAAACTGTTTCTTGCTTCTTTTCTCACTTTCTCTTTCCAGGGGTTTTGTTATCTTGTGACAAAGTTTCAGCTCCAATGTATCTTTTGCAAGCCTTGTTAAAATTCCACTATCATTTTTTTTTAAAAGTTCCAGGTGGTCTCCTCCATTTTCCAGATTCCACCCTCTTTTTTCCTTTTTCCCTCAGCTGCTTTCTTTCTTTTTTAAAAGAAAGTTTTTAAATTATCCAAGAAAATTTATCCCTTTGACACTTTATTTTCAGCTAGAAATAGCCTATTAATGTCAAAGTGGATTAGTATCAATTTCTTATTCGAATCTCTTCTTCTTAATGTTCCAAGTCAGTTAAAACTGTCGATGTTAGACAAAAAAAGCCAATTCCATTTCCTTTCCCTTTCTCTTTCGCAGCTTAAAATCTTTTTTAGGAATAGTATTAGTCTTTAAAATTCAGGTTCCAGGTACCTTAAATAGATGTTCTCCATTCAACCCGGTCAGTCAAACTTTCTCCTTTAAACTTCCCTCCTGCACAATCTTGTCTGGTTGGGTTCTTCTTTGAGGTGGCCATTTCTGACCACCGCTGCAACCGCCTTTGGGAAAGGGAGTAATGGCCAGCTGAGGAGGAGAGTTGCGTCTCTCCTCAACCCCGCTGATGGCTCCCCCTTCTTCACCACCTCTACGGGGTGGCTTCAGCCCCAAATCCGGGCGGCTCAGGGTGCTCCAGCGACGAGCATGGATCAAAACCGCGCACGATCGCGATTTCGGTCCATCACTGAAGAAGCTCAAACCAGAAGTCGAACACCCACAACTTCTGAAGCTAAGCTGGTAGACTGATTAATTGTTCTCACTATCGGGAAATTTCCCCTTCCTTCTAGTTGGTTCTTTCCTTGATCAGTTTCCATCCATTGCTTGCCCTGTCTTCAAGTGTTTTGGAAATAGATTGACCCCCTCTTCTTTATGGCAGCTCCTCAAATATTGAAGCACTGCTATCATGTCATCCCAGTCTTTCTTATCACTAGATTAGATATACCCATCTCCTGCAACCACTCTTCATATGTTTTAGGCTTCAGTCTATTAAAATAGTATTATAGTAGTAATGAATTATAATAGTAACATAAATAAAATAAAGATCCAATGGCAGAGATATATAATGTTACCTGTAGTGTCAACATAGTGATAGAGAAATTCCTCCCTCATAATATTAAATCCAGAAGCTTCCAATAAAGTAGCATGTTAGAAAATTCAAGAAAAGAAAAAGAATAAATAGTGACACTTAGAAAAGCAATTGAATCAATTCACAAATAAGATATTTAGGAATATTAGTTGTTGTTTTTTAATCTTTATTGGTCATATTTTCACAATTAAAAACAAATTTCCACTCATTACAGCGTATTCTTAACAGTGTTCATTCACATTGACATATTCCTAAATATATAAGTTATTACTAAATATTATTACAATTATTTTTACATAAAATTTAGAGCATATATTTATATATTTACATACTTATTTACATAGCTGTACACAGTATTGTTTCATCTTACCATAACCTTTCTTTTATTTATCTACTTTATGTCTACCTTCTAGCCAGTTGTACTATAGGTTCCAAATCTCGTGGTATTCTGTTTCTTCTCTCTCTTTCATTTCCATCGATAGCCTATTCATTTTTGCCCATTCTAAGACCTTTTTTATTATCATGGTGTCAGAAGGAATATTATCACATTTCCAAGTTTGGGCATAAGCAATTCTTGCCACAGTTATTATATGGAGTATGATATATTGAATTTTTTTTTGCCAATTTTATCTCTTAATATACCCAGTAGGAATATCTCTGGTTTCAGTTCAATTTTCTGTTTTGTAAATTCTTCAATCCAATTCTTAATTTTAAGCCAATAATTCTTAACTTTAGGGCAGATCCACCACATATGGTAAAAAGTTCCCTGTTCATGATCACATTTCCAACACATTTCCTATTAGGGAACATCCTAGCCACCCTTGCCAGAGTTAAGTGCCATTGATGGAATATTTTATACAAATTTTCTTTGTAGGCTGCTGATAATGTTAATTTGTAATTTACTTCACATATTTTTCCAAATCTTCCAAATTAATCAAAAATTTTCACCCAAATAATCATGGTTTCTTTTACTATTTCTTCTTCCATTCAGAATCTTAAGAGATAGTTACACATTTTAGTAATAATTTTTTCCTCTGTCAGGAATACTAGTTTTGATGGCTACATACTACTTTTAATATGATAAACACTTCAGTGCTTTTGTACTATTTTTTTCTTTTCTTAAAAAATCTAAATAACAGACTAACAAGTTGTGACTTTGTTGTGATCATTTTAAAAGGAACAGGAATTTACAGTAATTGTTTAGTAATTGTTGCTACATCTTTCTTAGTATATATTTCTTTTCTGCTCTTTCTAGGTCAAGCTGGGAACTTCCAGACTTGAGAGAAGGACGTGTAAAAGCCATCAGTGATTCTGATGGAGTGAGCTATCCCTGGTATGGGAACACCACAGAAACAGTTACCCTGATTGGTCCTACCAATAAGGTTACCAGGTTTTCAGTCAGTATGAATGACAATTTTTATCCTAGTGTGACATGGGCTGTCCCTGTCAGCGATAGCAATGTGCCACTATTGACTAGGATCAAACGGGACCAAAGTTTTACTACATGGTTAGTGGCCATGAATATGACCACTAAGGAAAAAATAATCTTGCAGACTATAAAATGGAGGATGAGAGTAGACATTGAAGTTGATCCCATGCAGCTCTTGGGCAAGCGAGCCCGCCTGGTGGGGAAAACTCAACAGGAGCAGCCTAAGATTTTGAGCAGAATGGAACCCATCCCACCAAATGCACTAGTGAAGCCCAATGCCAATGATGCCCAGGTCCTCATGTGGAGGCCTAAGAGAGGTCTGCCTTTGGTAGTGATACCACCAAAATAAAAAATGCATTTAAATGAGGACTTTTGCCACTCTAGAATGGATATCTGAACCAAAGAAGACCTTTCAGGTTCACCTGCCTTTTGTTACTGCAAGTATGAAGAGGGCTTCTTCAATATAGTGTTAGATGGCAATGGCCAATTATGTGCCATTGCAGAATAGTTGAATTTCTGGACGTTGGAAGAAGAAATGTTATTCTACGCTTTCAGGGGCATTCTCATGAAGAAGAAAGTTTCTATTCTTAATTTTGAAATATAATGAATATGAATATAATTTTCAGTGCCTGTGGCTAATGCTGCTTCCCAATCAATTAAATGTGATTATAAAGACTGTTATGAGATATTTATGGACTCATGTTGCTTGATTTCTGCTGGTTTAGGACAGGAAGGGATGGCATATTACCATATTATAGCTATGCATTTTAATTGATAATCAAAATGAACAGTCTGCTCATTGGAATGAAGAGAATGTTTACAAAAAGAAAATACTCTCAGTTTAATCTCATCGGTATAAAAAGAGCAGTTCTATCCACAAGGAACTATCCATAGTGCTGAATTTTGAAAATCAGGACCTCCATCTAATCAACTTCTTTCTGGGGCTAATTATTTGGATTAATGAAATTAAGACTTTTTGCATGTTTTTCAATGTGTTTGAGTAATTGTAACTGTAGGAACTTTGCCATAGAGTTTTACCAAGCTATAGGTGAAATCCAAGGTAAATAACTGGCAACAGCCCAGGTATTTAAGAAATGCTTTTGTTTTCATAAACCATCTCTAACTTCGCTTTTTATACAAATTTAATGGATATCTACACATAGTATGTTTTTTTCACTTTTTTTTAAAGAGGAGAAAAATAATTAATTACATTTGGGATGGAAGGTGTTCATCCCAAATGTTCAGAAAATTAAGTGCAATCCAGCTCATTATCAGTAAAACAAAATAATCTGAATTGTTACTAAACATGGATAAAAGGGAGACTTTGGAAATTCAGTATGTCTCAAGTTTCTGCTGGGCTGTGACATCTTTGCTCAGGGGTGAGGGGGGTGAGGGCATTCAGAGCCTGTGGAACAAAAGCATTACTTTGTAATATGGGCAAAAAAAACCCCAGATAACATTTTGCAAGGGTAGACATTATTCAAGGGCTGCCATTTGAATAATGGAAAACTTCCCAAAATATTTTCTTCCAACTTAAATGTAGCTAGGTAAGGTATTTTATCTTCTCGTGTTTGAGAAGAAATACATAATTTTAGATTAAATAATGGAAATGAAAAGTTAATGGGTATTTACCATCTCTAGCATTTTTTGAGAATTCATTAGGGCCACTGATTTGTCCCAACTCTATTTAATGTGATGTCTATTTAATGTAACATCTAAATAAAAAAATAAATGTAGTTATGAATTTTAGCTTATAAGATCTTCAGAGATGTGTTTTAGCTTATTTTACTTTCTATAGAATTGTTCTGGGAATCTTTGAGAAAGAGAATAAATAATTAACAATAGTTCCTGCTTTGCTTTTTCATCCCATATTAAGAGCCTTAACAGCCAAGAAGGTCCTATAGAAAGCTCCAAAATTTAAAGTCCATCTCCCTCCCGCCCCGCAAAAATCTTGTGCTTTTACCTTCTATATAACTTTCATATATGGGATGTATAGCTAAGAAATAAAAAATAAGAAATAAAGTTTCATACAATGAATATTATTTCAGGAATGTTTGAGGAATATATAAGAATGAGAAACTAGTATTGAAAAGTATTCAAGTATATAGGGATGAAGCATGGCTGGTCTTATGGGTCATTTTATTTTCCATATCTGGGTGTACAATGCTCTAAATATTGGGCATTTATACATCTATCTGTCTGTCTGTCTATCTATCTATCTATCTATCTATCTATCTATCTATCTATCTATCTATCTATCTATCTTGGATATGAAATAATTGGATTATTCTTCTAAATTTAGCAGTTTTCTTGACAATGGACTCTTTGCTTTTGCAATAATTCTATTCTATCTTTTGGGGAGAACACCTCCCAAGTACATTAGGACTACATTTTGGCTGCCCTTCTTAAAAACTTAAATGCAATTCCTTATTCCTTACATCAGCACTGGTTAGACATTTTGATATTGTTCTGCCTCACTGTAAAATGCATATCACAGAATGATCCCATTATTGCCATGTTTCCCTATAGAATTTTATAACCCCTACTTCTACATTTACACGAGCCCTGTTATACTAGTAGAATGTAAGAACCCTGAACATCAATAATATACATATTTTTCAAGATTTATAAGAAATTACATTAAATTACATTTGAAATAACTTCCACTAATTCCTTAAGCATTTTGGGGTTTAATTTATATTATCTCAGAGAAATTCACTCATTCATAGATTTAAACATCTTGCTTATTCTGGGCTGCATGATCTTCCTTACACCATTTGTTTTCCTTGTTTCAGGTTGAACAACTTGTGGAAGAGGACAGAGGCAAAATAGGAACAAGTAGTTGTCAGGCACAAGAATTTAGGAAGCAAGTCAGTTCAAATTATTAGAGATCTAATACATGCTAACACTATAAGTTTTGCATTCTCTAGGCTCACAGAAGCAAAAAGGATTATCTAAAATATTAGATCCAACTCCCTGATCAGTGTAAATTAAATAATCCTCAGGTGGTGGCAGTCCAACCTCTGTTGAACACATCAGGTGAGTGAAAAGAAATATATCTGTAAATATTTTGTGATACTAATAACTGGCTGAGGAATGAGCAGGAGCTGTGTGCGGTGGAGTCTTCCCTTCTCCTCCTCTCCCTCCTTCTCTTGTCACCCCGTCTGGCTTTGGCAAGGCTGGGAAGGGGCTCACGCGTGGGGAGACCCTTAAGTGAGCGGCCACCCACCCTGCTCACACCTTTGCTGCGGTTTGGCTGAGCTCGTCCACTCACTTGAGGAGAGTCTCCTCACATGAGCACACCCTCCCGACCCCGCCACAGCCAGCCAGGGGGCAAGAGGAGGGGGGGTGAGGAGAGAGGAAGCCTCCACCATGCTCGTTCCTCAGCCAGCCTGTATTTTCAAAAAGAAGAAAGAAAAGGAGTAGTGAAGAGCCCCAAGGAGAGCTTGCTGGTTTGGCCCAGCCTTGGCTTTCCTAGAGAGAAGAGAAGAGAAGAGAAGAGAAGAGAAGAGAAGAGAAGAGAAGAGAAGAGAAGAGAAGAGAAGAGAAGAGAAGAGATACACACACATACACACACAGACAGACAGAGACACAGAGAGAAATATAGAGATAGGGGGAGACCGGCTGATGGGTAAGCATCTTTGTGAGGGCGCTCCAGCTTTCTCCAAGCCTGACCCCCCAGGGTGAGCGTGCAAGGTTTGGTGGGGCCAGCCCTCTTTTTCTGCTGCCCTGAGATTCTCAAAGCTGCAGCTGAGCACTGCAGGACCATCCCTCTTTCCAACGTCCTGTCCTTCCGGTTCCCATTCCCACCCCACCAGCCCTCGTGTTAGTGAGGCCAGCATTGGTCACAGCTGGGTCAGACCAATATCTTGGGGTGGAGAGCAAATTGCGTGTCTCCCGAAGCAACCAAGGCATGCCCAGCACCAACAAGGGCCAGAAGAAGCTCCAGCAAGAGTCGCGGGCCGCTTCTCCATCCCCCTCCATCGCCCTTACCTTCTCAGGCTAAGCAAGGGAGGGGAGGGTGAGAGGTCAGCCAGTGATGGGACAGGGAGCTACAGCAGAGGGCCCAAAGTGCCACATTCAGCTCCGGAACCACGAGTTGCCGACCCCTGCACTAGACCAACTGACTCTTTCCCTTTTATCCCTTTATTCTTTCAGTTTTCAGAATCATTCTTCTTGTTTGAACTCCTTTCCCCCTTCCCTCAAGTTTTTTTTTAAATTTTAAAATAAAGCTTATTTAAGATTAGTATATTTAAAACATTTTTTAAAAAACAAACATATAAACAAATATATATACATATATACATTTTGCAGCAGGTATGGAGCATTGGTTACACTTTTTTCACCCCCTAACATTGACGTGATCTGCCTTGTTACAATACCTTCCTCGTTCTTTTAAAGTTTTAATTTCACAAAATACTTCATGATTAAACTCATGTCTTCCACAGTTTCATAGCTTATCTAGTTGTCAAATATTGCTTTTTCTTTAACCATTGATACCAAACAATTCCAAATTTTATAGTAGTCACTATCTTTGTTGTTTTTTAATAATTTAGTTAGGCTATCCATCTCTGCGCACTCGTGAATTTTTTTAATGACTATCTCCTCTGAAGGGACAGTAGAGAGTTTCCAATTTTGTGCATAGCTTATTCTGCCTGCCGTTATAATGTGCAAGATTAAATATTGATAATTTTTTTTCTATTTTTAAATCTATCATACCCAGCCAGAATGTTTCGGGTTCAAATTTTACATCTTGTTTAGTTATGTTTAGAATCCAATTTTTAATATTTCTCCAAAAGTTCTGGGCATATGGACACATCCACCACAAATGAAAGTATGTTCCCTGGACGCAGTTACACTTCCAACAGTTTGGCCGGAGGTTCAGAAACATCTTAGCCAGTCTTGCAGGTGGCAGATGCCAGCGAAACACCATTTTATACAGATTCTCTTTGTACAAGACTGACATAGTTAATTTGTAATTTATTTCCCAAATATGTTCCCACTTGTCTAGTTCAAAATTGTGGCCCATGTTTTTTGCCCAAATTATCATACATTCCTTTATTGTTTCTTCTTTTAATTTATAATCCAAAAGATATTTATATATTTTACTAATCAATTTCCTTTCCTCTCCATGCCAGATCTTGTCTAATTCTTGGTAGGTCATATTAAAACCAATTGTTCTTTATCTTTTTTATAATACATTTTTATATGTACCAAGGGCCACCATGCTATCTCTTTTCCTTGGATTTGTATTTGATTCCTACCCTTTAACTCTCTGGTTTCATGTAGTAGGTCTTTATATCTTACAATATTATCAAAATCTAAAACATTTCAACGTGCAACTGCCTC